ATCAACTAAAAGCATGTACTTAATGGTAATAAAGCTTATTTTAACACAAAAAGAATAAAGCACTAGTCGAAAAGCAGCAATCAAATATAAATAGACCACAATATTAAAATTCAAATTAAAAACTATAACTATAAAAAACAAATACTCTAAAAGCGCAAAATATCAGAACCAAATAAAATGAATAACCATGATAACCTAAAAATCACACTAAAATTGCAAAAACTATTACTGTAAAATCATAATTCATATGCGTCGGAGTATCGCAAATGTCAAAAGTACAGTGTTTCCATGAACATTTAGCCTTGTTTTTAGCAGTATTTTATGACCATTTCTACAACGCGCATCCAACGATATTGGCGTTCCACAGTTCACTGTATTTTCCTCACACCTCTAGTATAAATGATTTGACATAACGAAACTAACAATAGTTATAATTAATGTAGAGTAAGTAATAAGTGTTTCGTGAATTCTAAATAAAACAATTATTATATAAAAGTGTAAAAGGAAATGTAATTTATTTCCCTATTTTCTTCTATAATATCTTCAATTATTATGTTTTATTTCTATAAATAAACCAACTGGTTAGGTGAAACATTGTGATATATGATTTTATTTATGTGTCCTATGCGTACACTTTAATATACAAAACACCTGGAACATTCTTTAAATAATTGTGGTCGTAGAAATAATTGTGTACATAACTCGTTTGAAAGTGTATTTTATACACTTGCCAAATATATTATCCATACTCACAGATTAATCAGACTATGTTTTTACTTCAGTATATATCTTACTACTAGAACTATTTCTATCACTGAAAAAAAATGATCCGTGTTTTCGTATGTTCTGATGCATTTTCGGCTTCAACCCATCTGACCCCCCCTCTAAATATATATAAATTTTGCTTAAAATTGCTAACCCTACAATTATCTATCCGTATTTGCTGACGGAAAATAAATACCGAAAATCGTTACTGTCTCCTGGACTATACAAGAGACGATGATGAGGACTTCACAACAAATACACTTTTATGAATGGCTAGTTGGGGATGTGAGTAGAATCCATTGAAGTTTGGTACTACTCACTATTTCTCTCTGTTTATGTCGAGATAACTAAAATTCTTAGGAGAATTTGACCACCTGATTAGCCGAGAAAGAATAACAAACATTTTTAGTATGGAATAAGGAATTAAAAATGCGAATTATGGAGCATAAATATAGAATAATATCACATGATAAAAAATGTGTGGCGTTGTCATGTAGTTTTTTTTTTCTTCACTTAAAGATACCATTGTTACAATATTATTTCTTTTTCCTAGCTTAAAAATATAATGTGCTATTAACTTTAAAGTGCTGTTCTTAAGTTATCACTTGATTGCGGATTGGAATGGATGTAAAAAAGAACTGCTAGTCTATAGGACAATAAAATCTTGAGTATTAAGTATTTTCGATAGTACAAAAAAATGTTTTAAGATGTAGTTTTGTAATTTTTATTGTAATATACGAAATCATACTAATATCAAAATATTCAAAAATATTCGAACAAGTCAATTTTTTAATAATATATTTTTTAGTTATCGCTTTCTTCACTGCTACTGATATATTGGCTCAGGTTCACTACCTACGAAATAACATTTTCTCATGATTTACGTTTTGATTTTGGTATATGCTGTACAGACTGCACGCATCTGTTATTGGTATATTTGGTAATTTTTAACTAGAGGTAGGGAATCCTCACTATTTTCATCCTCATCCAAATTAATAATAACTGGAGTCAGAACCTTCCTATCAAATACCACTTCCTTATCCCACCAATCCTGTTTTATTTTTTCACTGGGTTAAACTGTTCTCAGAAATTGGACCATCGTATTACCTACAAAGTAAATACTAAATTTAAATATAATTATGTTTAAGTACCTGACACCACCGACTTTGGTTTTCCTCACACTTCTCTTATTAGAGTCTTACCAGGAACGTCCAACTGTACCATCTTTTAATATCTATGTCATATCAAAAAAAAAAAACTGATACAAGGCTTCCCTTTTAAGTTTAACACATTCGTGTTTAAAAATGTACACGTTTAAAAGCAATATGTGGTGACTCCATTAAACCATGACGTGGATAATCTTTCTTGTATTTAAAAATTGTCAATAGTGACGCTTCTAAAGTTTTTGTTTTAATGTTTGTAAGTTTATATGTGGTTCTCTAAAAAAATACTTAATGTAAATGATGTGAATATATATAGTATGTTTGATACACGCTCACTGTTTCTGTACATTTCATAGATAACGTTTTGGAAAGCGTTTTGAATAAAGACATCAATCCTAACAATAGTTTTTGAACGTTGTCGCTTCTTCGGTAGGGTTTTAGAAACTTCGCCTCTATTGTGCTTGGCTGTAATATGATTCACCGTCGAAAAGGAATCAGCAACTCTCCGAAATATATAATATTTATATACTTTATAAAGCATAATACTCAGAGTTTCATGAATCTGACCCTACATTTAGCATGTTATTACACATTAAAAAAAATTTTTTTTTGAATGTAATTATCATTATTTACGTCTCTTATACTGAATGTGAAGTATCCCAGTATTTATAACTCGTGGTAAATATCCAGATAAAAAATTCCTAAATACCCGGATATTTGTGAATTTAAAGAGAATTACGGCTCGTAGTAGGTTAAACCTTGGGAAATTTTACAAGTTTTACTTGTAACTCATTTCGTGGGATGTTCATATCTGAGAAGCTTTTTACATAATCGGGGAAATGTTCCGATAAAGATTATGTTTCAATTTTAGTAAACTTAGTATGTAAGTCAAAAATGAAATGTACAACAGTATAATGCTGACTTAAAAGACTTAATCTGAATCTGAGTATTCTTGCTTTGAGTTGTTTTTATCACTTGAATGGCTTGAAAGTAACATGTGACCATCTTCAACATCACAACAATCATGACTACCATTAAATAATATTTGCACATTATGTGTTATTCGCTTTGGCTTTTTGCCAAATCACCTACTTGAGTCTTTGGATCTTCGGTATAGTTGAAAATATTACAATTATTGTAAGACAAATATGCAATTTGTCCGGCTCTTTCAGTGATCAATCAATTTCTTCCTCAATCATTTGAAGTGGAGATTCTGTCATTTCGTGTTTAAAAGTTTCTTAGATTGTGAAATTTTGTATAAACTTTGTGGATCAGAGATGTGTTTGATTCAAAATCTGTAATAAACTCACTATGATGTTAACCATTTTTTTAAATCTGACCCAAAACACTAAAATATGTCTTTTCATTTCCGATGAAATTTCTGCTTCCTAATTAACAGCTAGTTTTTAAAGCATACATTTTTTTGTTAATAAATTCCGTAAACAGATGAAGTTGCTTTCCCATCTTGTTTGGTCAGACTGCTTCAAAGAAACAATGTCTTTTGACTTTTTGTCCAATTGAAATTTATCAAATAGTGCTTTTACGACATGGCTTTCTTAGTAGTCTTTACTATTTTAATAACAGTTGCCATAAAAGATTTAACAGTATTGCACATCAAGATGTCTTCACATAGAAAGTGTAAAAGATGAGCAATGCAAACAAGAAGTATGATGCTTCTCTTTTACCAAAACCAAGGCAGCTCTCATTTAGGTTATGGTTGGTGGAGATCACAACCTAGCAATACTTATGTTATCGATAGTAAGGACTATCGAATGAAATGGATTTCAGTCCTTTATTGCCCAGAACTCGATCTAAACAAAACTAAAAATACTCTCGTTGTGAGTATTTGTAATGGCATTGGGTAAATATCCGAGTATATACTCAATTTTTAAATACCCTTCCCCTGGTTATTTACCTGGCCCACAACACTAGTCTCTTATAGAAGTAAGCGGATGTAGTGGCCACCATTTTCACATCCTCGTTGAAAATAGTTTACTATTTCTTGACATTTGCTGGTTAAAAGTTTAGGCATTTTAAATGTTTTTGAATTTTCACCTCAAACCAAAGACTGACACAGTCAATTTGTTATTTTAAATAAAACTGAATACACAACAAATCAACTCAAATGAAATGACCTAACCTGCAAACGAATGTTGATTGATGAATCAATAAGTTTCCCTACACGTTAAGTTTAAATCGTATTTGCTCTTAATTTTTTTTGTGTTATTCCATTGACAATAGAAATAACTATAAATGACGTGACTGTCTTCTTATTGTAAAAATAGATTAATACGGAATTGGAAGCTCCTTTCTCTAGTTAGAGTACTACTTTCTCTTAAAATGATTCCTTAGCGTTGTTTGGTTGTTGTGAAGGGTCGATGGGATTATATTTTGCAGATCATTTCCTTTTAATGATCTTTTTTTTACATTTTTTTTACATTTTTTTTTTTTTTTTTTATTTCACACGTTGGGAAACGCCGATCTATACTCTTTTTGCTACAACTAACGACGAACAAATACTAGACCAATTTTGTTTTCAAAACTGAATTTTAAGCATTCACGACGATATCTACGTAGTTGCCAAATTATTATGAGAAAATTTTGTTACAAGGATTTCTTACGCTTACAATTCGGAATTTATTTAACATAAAGACATTAAGAAAGTATTATTGCATTCTTAATTCCAGTTATTTTCTGTTTAATATATTTTTCTGGTTCCATCTATTATTGTAGCTGAAGGTGATTTACAGAAAAGTATACCATTTATTTTGTAATGTGGCAACGGTCTAAAGCAAGAACAGTAGTTTTACGCATACTCACACAAACTATCTTTATTTAATTTAGTAGACATTTCGCTCTTTCTAATGCGGCAGCCGATGCGACAGCTCTGTCTGCCTAACGTAAATCACTATCTGACTACTTGCAAGTAAATAAGGGTTCAATTATGAATAAATGGATTAATGTAATAGTTTTTTATCGTTGGCTATAGCACAACTTATCTACTTTTCTTTGAAATTTGATAATGATAATATTTTTTTATTTCAGGTAGTCGCCAAAGGTTACCAAGCAACGATGGATCTCAAGATTATTTATTTAGTTATAAGTTACATCGCATCAGCGATAGCACAAGAAGACTGGGAAAAGCACTGCAACAAATGCCACTGCTTGTGGGTGAGCGGCAAAAAGACAGCCAATTGTGCGGCGCGAAGTTTCGACACAATCCCCAACGATTTGAGTAGCGAAATTAGAGAAGTCGATTTTTCCAATAACTTTTTCTACTCCCTAGAACAAAAAGTATTCGACCACGCCCATTTGGTGAATGTACATAAATTGAAACTCCAAAACTGTACGATAGAAAAAGTGAACCAATGGGCTTTCACAGGATTAGGCTTAGTTATAGAACTAGATTTAAGTATGAACAATATTGTAGTATTAAACAGGAACGTATTTAAACCGACGGTGAGAATAAGAACTCTAATATTAAGCCAAAACAAAATTAGTGTGCTGGAAGATGAACTGTTTTACAATTTAACTTACTTACAAAAAATTTTATTAGATCACAACGAAATTGAAGTTATTTCTCCCTTGACATTTCAAAATCTGCCAAATCTAAAACACATCTCTTTGTCGTCCAACAAAATTCAACGAATTACTTTCGATTTTAAAGATCAATTACCGAAATTGAGCAGCCTAAACGTTGAGGGTAATCCCTGGGTGTGCGACTGCAGGCTGCAGGAATTTAGAAGAAGTGTCAAAAAAAATAATTTAATAACATCGGAGATTATGTGCAACGCTCCGCCAAGATTGAAAGGCCGGTCCTGGATGGATGACAGCGTGATATTCGCCTGTTCTCCAAAAATTATCGACGTAGGTCCTTACAGTGTTATACAGGCTACCACTAGTAACATCACTCTAACTTGCAAGGTAATGGGAGATCCAATACCGGATGTAGATTGGCTGAACAATGGTATTATTATTGAAAGAGATCCGAGAAAAAACAAGCAGAAATATGTTACTTTTAAGGATACTATCGATGGTTATACTTGGAACAATCTTACTATCGTAAATCTTAACTATAAAGATAGAGGAGAGTATAAATGTTTGGCTAAAAATCCAGGAGGAGAAAGTGAAAGAAACATCACTATAGAGATACCTCCAGGGGCTCTAACTGGTAAGTTAAATACCCATACCATTTTTTTCATATATAAATATACAGGATATTTCTAAATGTTATGTCAATATTGAAAGAAGTAATTCCTTGATCTATTTTATAACTAATATACTAGCCAAAATAAATTTCCAGATCTGTATTAAGAAAAAATCAACAAATTGTAACAAACTCAAAAACATCCTGTACGTCCTAATTTTACTCTATTTATACAGGGTGATTCATTACTATTAGGACATAGGCTAAGGGCAGGTTATTTGCACAAAAATATGATGACAGGGCCAAATATACCTTAATAAAATATTGCTGTGGAATAAGATACAGGGCGTTAAAGTTGAATTTTTTTTTTTGGGTTTTTTTTTATAATGTCACTGTATATTAATGAATTGTTATCAAAATCGGCACAGAGGCATATCTTTGGACAGGGGATAATATTTTATGTATAATTTCTCATTTTGTTACGGGGGGCGCCTTTTGAATGATAACTAATGATGAAATTAAGTGGTAGCTTTTTTTGACAAAACTTTTTAGTATTTTTGATTGGAAAATTTGATGTAAACGTCATTTCTACGTAATATTGGTACTCTTGTTTAAACTCGATAATTTTACCCGTTTTCGAGAAAAACGCAATTGAGCAGCTCACAAGTCTCAAATGGGGAGTAAAAAAATATTTCACATATGAAAAGTGTGCTTTGGAGTGTCAGATAATTGTGTTTGGTAATTTCTTGACAGTGAATTATTTTTGCTGTTTGATTATAGTCTATTATTATTACTATTAATATTATTCATCACCCTGTATCTTATTCCACAACAATATTTTATTAAGGTATATTTGGCCCTATCGCCATATTTTGCTCCAAATAGTCTGACCTTAGATTATGTCCCAATAGTTATGAATCAGCCTGCATAGTTAAAAATAGCACAAAAATTCATTTAAACAGAATACTTGAGTAAATTTGAGTTTGGTTGTATTAAAATTGGAATAATATTGTTTAATTCTGAACTTAAATAAATATTGCTCTACTATTTTTATACTTGTATACTACTCTACAGTTTATTTACAGGTCTGCATTTGAAATGTTTAAACATAATTTCAAACGCCGTGTATACTAAAGTGCATCGTATGGTATACAAGAAAATAATTTTTTAGGTTTCAAAAACGCAATACTCTTCGAAAGTTGGGCTTTTAAAAATAGATTCCAAAAAATCTTTTTAAAATTATTGTTACCGGCGTTCTTGATTAAACAATAAAGTTAATACACGAAGCTATCTGTCGCCCTTAGAACGCATTTGGGAATAAACCTGCTAGCTCAGAAGCTGGGGTTCTGAAATTTATACCGCGTCAGTGATTTGCAGGGCTGATCCAAATCACTAGATCCCTCGTTGTTGTGAGGAAAGACAATAATTTCAATAGTAATTAATTCACTATTTCTTATGGACAATTTGATTCTTTACTTAGACAAGAATTCTTAAACTAGAGTCGACAAATGATATAATTAGGATAAATATAACTCACCTTAAAAGGTCCAGCTGTGTGATACTGGACAATCCTGTATCTTAATTAAATAAAAGGCTCTGATTATTGTTATTGAGGGGATTTATTCATATCATACACAAATTAATCAGATCTCCATTTGTTCGAACAAAGGGGGGATCTTTCGAAATAGTGCTATCTGCAAAAACAAATGGTTAATACATCGCATACTCAGTACTTAATAAAGTGACATAACTCAAAATTTGCATATTTAAACTTTTAATCGTAAAACTTTCTAAAATGGAGGCTTTTGTGCCGTTTGACGATTAAAAGTTTAAACATGTAAATTTTGAGTTATGCCACTTTATTACTGAGTGTGCGACATGTTTCAAAGAAAAAGTTCGTATTTTAAAACTAAAAATACATCAGTACTAAGTGACAGTTACTCAGTGCACTTAAAATCCTATATCTAAAAAGTAAAATTAATCAACTATGGCATAGAAGTAAAGTGACAATCAGCCAGAAGAATAACTAAGTATCTTGAAGATTTAATTTTTAATAATAGAGGCTAATTATTTAGTAAATTTTATTGTTCCACCTCTAAGTGGTTTATAATTTTAATTAAAGGGAAAAAAGAACACTATAGGAAACAACCCCATTAACAATAATTATTCAACTCAAAAATAACCGTAGCGTGAAGAAAGCAATCCATTCACCCTTATGGGTGTGACAACCTTTGGTTCCATAGGGAACCAGTCAGCTGTTCCCACCCCGAACAATCGACGATCATATGGCGCGTCACTCACCTTCTGGGAAAACGAAGGTGCGCATAAAATAATTAACAAAAATACCACTTAACTGGTGTTCTGCCCTAAATGGGGAGGTTCTAGTATGGTAAACCCTAGAAGCAGGATTCTTCACAAACGAAGGTCTTTAAATTACGCCCTGGTACTTGGTTGGTAGTTGGATGTTAGAATTATCGAAGAGGTTGAGAAAACCTGAATTACAGCCTGAAGTTACCCCTGCGCATTCACTGTGCCAGGACAAAAACAAAAGGGCAAGTAACCCGAACGACGCCAGAAAACAATGACGCCTACCGTCAAGGGCCTCTAGAAATAGCGGGCGCTTTCCCGCGGTACCTGGTAGCGAGCAGCTTCCGCATAATTGCAAAAACCCACATTGCCTTAAAAAGAAAAAGAAAAATGTTGGTTTGGATTGCATTCAAAATAGTCCGTACCTGACAGATCGGCTATATTGAGTCGTCGTAAGCCACGCCCAGTAATACCGTTTTGAAGGTTTGAAAAAGATGCTTGTAGCGTCTCCCTACCTTCGGGGATCTTGAATGACAATTATAGATCCATATCTGTAATTCTCATCTAAAAAGTTTCTAATTGCAACTAAAATGTGGCTCCATCATGTTGGAAATACATACCTCGAATGATTACATCTTGCAGCAAAACTGGTGACATATTTTATAGAAAATCCAAATATTCTTCACCACTTAATCTTCTCGGTAATTTACAGGGTATTTCAAAATTCATGCGACAAAATTCAGGAAGTGATTGCTCGTATGAAATTAAGATGGGTCTTTCCTATAACAAAATTTGCTCAGCCCACCTCTTTCCGAGGTATCACCCTTAAGAGTTGGTGACTAAAATTGAGTTTTTATTTTTTTTTCTAAAGTTTCAGAAAATATAGAAACTTGAAATTCTGTAATTTTCGTGCACTCGCAAAGGACTAACCACGGTTATTTTTTCAATATTCCTGCATTATAGGGGGGTGAAAGAAAATATAAAAATGGAAACGTGAAGATATTGTGTCTTCACGAATGAACGTTTATTGTTTATATCATAATAATGCTATCTGATACTATCTAAATAAATAAAAAAACATCTCGTCGTCGGAACGTTTTTTTAGGGGGCTCTATCCTATCCAGTAAAATAAAACAGATCAGTGGTCCTTATACATATTGCCTTGTTTTTATTTTGGCACATATACTGAAAAAAATTATATTTAGAATACCAATGAACTTTTTACACGTTTCTTTAATTAATATTTTTAGGTGGTGGGTTCGTCAGCACTCTCTCCACCAACACATACCTAGTGATCGGGCTAGCCGTTGGTATTATAGTCATTCTTCTTATCGTCCTTGTGATCCTGTTCTGTTTCTGCAGAAAAAGTACGCATGGATTTTACTCGAAGAGAAGACCGCATGCCAATACGTCCGAGGAATACATTAATATGAGTAGCGGACAAGCCGAAATCAAGAAAGGCTTGATAACAGACGTCAACCCAGTGACCAAACCTCCTAGAACTACCGTTTCGCCTTCTGTAGTTAGTGGAGGAACTGAAGTTAGCGACGCTAAGAAGACACTACTGGATAACGAATCAGTATTTGGTAAGTTTGATTTGATTTATCTAATTTCAATTTAATTATAATATACTTATATACATTACATATGTATTATCAAGGGTAATATAACGAGACCTTGATAAATAGTCGACTATTTTTATTGTATCTAAATTTTGAGTGTTTTTGGTACCAATTTGTCGAGACATAATTTTGTCATTAATAATCTGAATAGAGTCCGAGAGTAGCTCGAGGACTTTATTCTTTGATTGTAAAATACACGAAAAATTTAGTAACAATAAAAATAGGCACTATTTTATTAAGGTCAAGATTAGAGCCCTAATTGTAACTAAAAAAAAATACACATGAAAATAACTTTTATTTCATAAATTAGGAAAAATTAGTTGAAGTTAAAAGAACAATTATTATTGTAAGTGACATTTCCAGTTTGCATAATTTGGGACATTAGTCCTGCTTTTGACGAAGTAGCGGCATTCATGGTAGCAGTAGAAACTTGACTTTCTTCTACCGGATTAAAATCAGTATTCACAGAAGTGAAAGCTTGACTTCCTGTATGTCCTCGAAGTTGGTTAATAACACTTTGATAATGCTGGTCATCCATCTGTATGTAAGTATGGTTGAATAGATGATGAACTAGAATGCCCAGTTATTTTAATCAATTGTTGCTCCGGTACACCTGATTTTGCAAGTTGAGAGACTGCTGTCGAGCGACAAGAATGGTTAGTAATCTTTAAACGCTTGATGTCTAATCCAATAGACTCCGTACCCAATTTGATACCTTTAGAAAACTCATTCTTTCCAAAAGGTAAATTTTTGTACCAGAAAGAGTTAATATTTTGCCAAAATGGATTTGGAGTTAGAAATAAACGTAAACATGTGAATTGTGGACTGTTTTCCAATCAATTTTTTGAATAATCTAACTGGGCAGTTTTGCGGATTTTGAGTATTTGGAATCAACCACTTACTATCTGCACATTTTTTGTCTCTTCCTTGGCAAATTTTCGTAAAAATAGGATTATATTTTAACCTGCCTGTTTCTTTACCATCTTCAGAGGTTTCAAATTTTTAATATTCTGTTAAACATGTTGCGCTTTCCCCACTGCGCCAAGCTAATTCCACGGAAGCCAAATAATAGAAAATCTTTTGGAGACCGTCTGGAGTTTGTTCATCCAATTTGTTAATAATATCGTGTATATGTTTTAAACTTAGAGCTGTAGAACTTTGTTTCCTTTTCTCTGAAAATATCTGCAATTCCCGTCTTTTTGCATTTCGTTCATCGCGAGCACTTTTAAATTCAATACCTTGAAATGGATCTATTTTTACATTAAATTTTTTTAGATATATATATATATATATATATATATATCTTGTAACGTCTTAGCAGTTGAGTTCCACATACACTTTAAAGAATACTCTTTGTAGTCGCTTCCGTCTTCTTTTTTCCTGTTCTTTTAATCTTTTAAGATATTACATAGTTCAGCAACAGTTTTATCATTTGATAAAACATATTTGCGCTGAACGCAAAATTTCATAAACTGATTCCACACACTATTTTTACTTTTGATTGTATTCTTCGGGATACTATTATCTATAAAACTGTCTATTTTTTCGCTATTAACACACCCAAATCAGTTTATTTTAAATGTTTCACTAATATATTAATTTTTAGTCTGACACTTAATATTATTTGACTAACCACTTTTAATATTACACCTACAATCAAGTATGCGAAATGCTGTCAATATAGGTGAATATCGAGCACCATCATGCATGGATAGTCGATTTCAAATAGTCAGTGAAAATAGTCGATTTATTTGTTTCTGATTGGTTCTAACGATAACGTAAATTGCGATGTGATTGGTTAAAATTTAAAATCTGACAGGCGAGGGAAATAATCTATAATAATTTTATTATACTTTAATATTAATTCATGAGGCACGTGATGCTCTTTTGCCTATACGAACATAAAAAGTTACAGAGGACTACAACAGAAGACTAAGCAAGGTTGAGATATTATTCTTCTGATGTCAAAGAGAAGAAAAAATATTTTAAAATATATATGAACAACAATCATAAAAAAAATAATTTAAATATCTGGGTAATAAAACCAGGGTAAACAGAGAAAATGAGAGGTAATAGTTACATACCGAGCGGGGAAGTACTCTGTTACAGTCGAGGATCTAGATAGATTAGGTACCGAGGTGCGAAGCATCGAGGTAAGCTGCAGACGCGAGTTCCCGAGAGGTATGTATACGGATTTACTCACAATCAATAATACTATTAGCAATTTTGTAGAAGTTTCAAATAATATTAATAATATTGGTATTAATTTCTATCATACTTTGATAAAAATGTCTAAGGAAGTTAACTCGAATACCGTTGCTAGGCAACGGCTAACAAGTTAGTTGAATCTGAAAATTCAATAATTATTTTGCCAATTATATTTTGGACCCCACTTTTAATAACAAAATTGTCTTTGTATACTTGAAAATTTGCCCAACAGTTATTTTGAATGTGCTTCAACAGAACTGCGAGTAGCTGCAAATAAAATACCTACGACATGATTCTAGAAAACAAAAACATTTGATACTGATGAAGCCTTAATTACAACTTCTACAAGTTCATGATGAAACATTTTTTATTCACAGTTTGAACAAGTACACAAAATGTATTAACTTACGTTGACAAAATTAAACCGTTTATATCGAAATCTCAATTTTTTTTTTAGAGGTTAACCTATTTGTTTCATTTACACGCCGATAAATTAAAATTGAATTTTTTTAGCCCTCTACTCATTCGTTTCGTTCCATCACTGTAGTTAAACCGTTTATATAGGGCATAGCCATGTCCCTTGAATTTTTATGTGTCAAACCTACGTACGGATAATTTTTGTACGTGGGGGTAAGCCGAAAATTATTACGTCGTAAAATATTTTTACGGAAACCAATTTCGTGGTTAGTTTATGACATTTGAAAAATTTAGGTTGTGTTTTTTTTATTATTAGGTGCACGGCAGTAGTTGTAAAAAACAACGACGGGATAAGACGCCTTCGTTTTTTATGTACCCAAGACGTTGAGGTAGCAGCTTTTTTGTTCAATAGACTAAAGCACAGAGCGTATATTTTGATCGTTTTCTGTCGATTCTTTCTATTTTCAGTATCACAACTTTTCAAAAGGGCAATTTCTTTATTCTAGTACAATGGGTTGATTTTCTTTTCTTTCACTAGAGTCCTTAGTACCATTGATGCAGGTTGGATTGTTGAAGGTTTCCATTTCTTGACCCACTTCTTTCTATGTTTTCCTGTATGTCGTCATTGTGGTAGAAAAGTTCCCAAAATTATTGAAAAAGAAACAGCCCATAATTGAACAGACGACCCTAAAAATCTAATAAACTCTCCATAAGAAAATTGAAACTAAGTATATTAAAAAATAAATTTTGAGATATATAGGGTGTCCAATAAGGACGGAAATCTTTGAAGTTGGCCCCTGAATGTCCTCTATTGCTATTCCTACTCTTTGAAACAACCTTGATTCAGCTTGTGCAAAGTATACTTGCAATAATTGATATAATTCTAAAATTAATCTTAAATTCATGAATTTATAGGCATATGAATTAATTTTAGATTTAAGTGCTACACAATGATTAGGTCAAGTCAGACATTTATCCATTTGAAAGACGAGAAATTTGGTAGTAGTATAATTGCTAATAGATACATTACCGTAAGTTGGATTAATCGGTGCATTAGTACAAGCTTTTTTATAGGTTATGAAACCTTATGGAAACTGTTTTTGCAGGATTAAGATAAATCATGTTGGCATTAAACCATTATTCTTTAACTTTATTAATGTTATCATCACACTTTAGATATATAATGAAAGGTATTTAAATATATAAATCACTTAAATAATTAATAATTGGGACAAATAATATTGGCTTCAAAATCACACCTTCCGAAACGAAGGGTGAAAATTTATATGCGATTTTCGGTTTTTAAAGGTAGGAACTTGAAAATTGGAATTGAAGCTACTCATCATAAATAAATAATGACGTATTTCAGGGTTTTTGGATTTTTATCTACTCCTATTAACTTATATATTAATTATTCAACTGCTTTCGAGCAATTAATAGTATCCATTAACAAACAGTGTGAGTTATAAAAGTGAGTTAATATAACTCACGCTGGGCTCCTACTATAATTCGATATGTATTGCCTCTTATGCAATTTACAGAATAAGAAGATCATGGACCTGAAACAAAAATTGCCAGAAAATTCACTGTTACGGGAAATGTTTATACTATAGTTATGAAATATTTAAATCTTCGTCCTATCGATAGGTACCACAAACGATATTATTCTTTAAATTTCCAAAAGGAAAATATTACTTACAAAGAATTAGCCATCAACAAATTTGGATCAATGAAGAAACACATAGCTTCATTTTTAAAATTACCATATATTAATTTATATACTGAGCCTTATTTTCGCGGCTCGTCGCAACTTTTAGCATATGATAGAAGGGATATAATGCACCAAAGCGTCATGTTGGTTGGCTCAACTATTGTTGCTGTAGAGAACATTGATGATTCCGAAAGGAATAAGACTTACTGCAAATAAAATAATAATATTTAATTCTTTAATGCCTCAACCAGTACATATTTGCTACAAACACAAAAAGAAACAATAAACTTACATATTTCAGTCACATAATCAGTGAGCACAATTAATCTTATTTATAAACAAAATGAGTAAGAATTATAACTAAAACTTGTATACATTGTTGTAACAAAAAGATTTGTGAATAAAATACTTTCTCTATACTTGCATCTTAGTATTTATTGTTTTAGTCGTATATAAAGTATAGTATTCAACTTGCGGTAAACGTCATAACTCACTTGATGAATTATAGCACTTGCCTGCGGCTCGTTCTGCAAACTTCATCTGCTTGAATTATGAACTACATTACCGCTCGTTGAATAATATACTATTACACTTTAAGGGCGGAAACGGGGGGTGAAAGTTTGTAAAA